CACCGCGTGGGCTGCTGACCTGCCCAGGCAGGTGGGGCTTTTCCATTTGGCACGGCAGAGATCCCCGTGGATGGAGCACGGCACAGCCCCTGCCAGGGGAACCACGGGCGCAGGGAAGATGGTGAGTCCTGCACAGAGGCTCACAGCTCACAGGACTAGGCCAGCTGGTGTAAAACAGCCCAGTGAGGGCACCACATCAAGACAGATGCTACTGTGGGACCAGATCCCCTGGTCACCTGGGATGGGTCCTGCAGGTTCATTAGCAAGAGACAACAATTAGGCCACACATAGAAGCCTGATTACCCTCTTTCCACTAAAAAGAAAAAAAACCTCCAAACAAACCAGACATTTACAACTAAATCTAAAATCACAATAACGTGTGTGCTAAAGCCTAAACTTTAAAGACTCAAATTCAATTGGATTCAAAAAAGATCAGTAGCAAGGGGTAATGTCACGTTTTGAAGATGGTCAATGCGCTGGAGGTGGAAGCAGAGCTGACAGATGAGAAACAAACTTTCCCAGCAGGAGCAGCTACTTCTGCAGATTTGGAAACTTTTTCCTGTTTCTGGTATATTTGCAGCTCCAAAACAGGCTTATTCAGAGCTGAGAAACAACAAAGGACTGACAACAAAAAAGAAGGTGTGCCTTTTATCTTTCCATAACCAGGGAAACAAACAAACCAATCAACTAAGGGGGAGAGGATGAGATGTACTAATTCTAAAGTCTTGAAAGGGTAGTTTCCAGAAGCACTTCTTCAACTCACTGATCACTTCTTGCTTTGGTTTCACGCACCATGTGTTTTAACCTAAAAAGTATTCTGAAATTTACTTTTTGTTCTGTATTGTGTATTTGCAAGGGAAAGAGGATTTTACTAATAAAATCAATTCAAACTACTGCTGGGGTGCTTTAGCATGGCACTACAGTTTTCATCCAAAAGAGCAATCATGAGTAATAATTTAATCACCACCTCTTCAAGAGCAAATAAGTGATTCACCATTTTGCTAATGTAAAAAATATCTAAAAACTAAGACTAAAGGCATATTCTGTTACATAATCGATCAAAATAAATGTAGCAAAAATAGAGTATTTGATGAGTAAAAGAATAACCAGAACAACTGGTCAGTGATAAGGAAAGCTATACTTGGTTTCATAGGTGCTGTTCAGTAAAACTTGACCATCTTTCAGGGAAGCAGGTTAAAAAGAAAGGTAAAACCAGAAGAAAATAAATTTATGAATGCAAGTGATCTGCTGTCACTAAAACCTGGGATTTTGATCCTTCTGATCTAGATCAACCTCTGATTATCAGTAGAGAGACGCTAACACAAGTACCCAGCTCCACTGGTGTGGAGCCTGTGAATGCTGGTCTCTGTGTGCGAGCACCAAGACCCCCATCACAACCTGCAGCTCACTTTTGGCAACCATCACCTCAAACACATGTTTTAAGAGTGGCAACGTCCACACATATGTGAGACTGAGTAACTGCTTGGCAAGACTCTACTTCATTTTGTTGAGGGTCAAGAAAACAGCAGACAAAACCAAGTTCCTCACCCCAAGATTCTACAGCCCACACTGCAGCTGACACACAACTAATCTGTGTTAGAGGATGAGATGGAAGTTGCAGAAAAATGTCCTCTCCAGCCCTCAGGGCCACATTCAGCCCAGAAGGAATCCTTTCAGCTGAAATATCAACCTGAGAAAAGGTATGAAAGAATAGCTTCATGCCCCTTTTGCTCTTTTCTGACCTCTCAGGTAATTCCTGCATCCTCACTCTCATGAAGAGGACTTCTCTGACTTTTCTATCTCCTTATTCTGCCCAGCGCTTCTCAGGAAGCTGAAATATTGACATTTCCCCCCTTCCTTTACCTTTTCCCTCCCAAGAACAGAATGGCACCAGACATGCACCCGTCCCTACCCAAGGCAGCTGTATTTGCAGGGTGTGCAGATAGACTTTAGTGTGTTTGGGGACACAAATCACTTCTCTAACCCCTCGACAAGATTTGCTGCTCACTTGCTCATGAGCAGAAACTGGGAGAAAGCTACAGCATGATCTCTGTGCAGCAACTTGCTCTGTGTGCAGCTGTGTATCCATCCCAGGGGATGTGGGGATGTTCCCCTGTGCTCCAGCACGAGACCCTCCTGCCCATATGCACCAGATGCTAAAGGTGGTTCCCATCCAGAATCTGGCCTTGGCCCTGCAGGGTGTCGAGCACCCTGAACTCCCCAGATTTTGGACATGATGGAGGAGAGAAGACGAAGTGTGGAGTGGGACTGGTCCCAGAGCATGCCAAGTGCAGGGATTTGGAGCCAGTATCTGCTGAGACAGCGAGTCAGAGAGTGGCTTGAAAACAAAGCAATACACAACCAATCAGGCAAGACAGCAAAATTCCTTGCAAATTGTTTGCAAAAGCAAGTGGCCATCCACTGCAATTTTTCTGTCAGATTTGAAGGGAAATATCCGTGTTGCACATTCCTGCATAAGCAAGCTGAGGCTTCACAGGAATGTCTGCATCCCCCTGGACCGTTCCCCACGCTCCTGGGAAAGGAGATGCACAAACACTCTCTTAGATGACACGGTATTTGTGAAACTGGTGAGACTGGCTAACAAATCTTGCTGCTCCCTTCTCGGCCCTCTTTGGTTTGCAGATTTCTGGACACCAGTGACCCACGAGGACCATGAAAATCAGAGGTTGACCCTGGTTATACCCACCTTAGATGACCCTTGGAAATCCTCCTTTCAGCTCCCCAACATTGCTCAACCCTGCTGCACCCCAGGACTGAGGACAAAGAGAAAGGAGGCTCTAGACCACATGGGAACCATCCCCAGAACCACAGCCAGCTCCTGGCTCACTGTGGGCAGTGAGAGGCTGGCAGGTAGTGTGCTTCACCATTCTCCACTCTCTTCTTATGCAGCAATCCTTGATTAGGGGTCATGTCTCCAGACATCAGCATCACCCCTCGCCTTCTCCCAGGAGGACACTGGGCTACCAAGCCCCAAAGCCAACAGCTAAAACACCACTGGCAGCGGCCGTGCCTGGGGCTCCCAAGCTGGCCAGGAGGAAGAGTTCTTCTCCCCAGCTGCCATTCAATGAGCCTCCAGCTCACTCCCGAGGGCTCAGCCTGCAGTAAAGCCACTCGGCAGAGGGTGCCAGTGGCTGCCACCTCTGCAGGCAGTCAGAGGATTGTAGACATCCCAGATAGATCTGCTCTGGAGCCAGCTCAAATGCAGCAGCCAGCACAGGCTGTAACACACAGGGCACATGTGCACCATTGGCAGTGCCAGGGAGATGGAGACTGTCACGCTGCTGGCCTGGCATCCTTCACAGCACCTCTGTAAACCCTTTCCAAACTGTATGGGAAAGGTAGGTTTGCCACTGGGATGAAGTGCTGCAAGAATGGAGCTTGGTTGCTGGGCCTTGCTTCTCCATGGGCATTTCACCCACAGCTCACCCCGTACTGGGGAGAGCTGGGAGTGCTCCCCCACAGAGGGAGTTTGGCAAAAACGAAGCAGCAAAACCCTCCTAAAGGACTGGAATGGGAGGGACATGAACAGCATCTCTCTGAATTCCATCAGGCAGAGGAATCCCACCTGTGCAAGACAACAGCACTGAGACAATCATGGGCAGAAACTAATGGGAGACAGATGATACTCCAGAGATGTGGATGCTTTGTTGGAGTAAGGGATGACAGCAACAGAGAGCTCATGACATAAATAAAATGAGGAACAATGAAGCAGAAACCAAGTCCACATCCCCCAGGAGACCCTAGGAATAGCCTAAGCCCCCAGAGCAGGATATGCACACACAACTCCTGCAGTCCCTGCTCCCTCCTTGTGATTCCCCAACATGGTACACAAGCAAGGCAAATCTGCTCCCAGGCAAGGAAGCAAATTTTAATGCTACCTCTGTCAATAATGCAACCAGATCCATAGTTCAAAAGGAGCTTGCTAATTAAAAGCTGGTGAGCTTTAAATAATTCATCTCCTTAACTTGGATTGATTAGAGAGTTTAATGGTTAGAGTCTTGAAACAATATTAAACAGCCTCTTCAAGGCCCGGGTAGCTGGTGACTTTTCCAAGTAAATCTTACCTCCTTGCAAACTTTAATGCTCAAATGTCACTGAGGATGAAGGGCTGGGAGGCAGAGGGAACACCTGACCACTGGTCTCCAAGAGGTGATCCACTGCCCCACAGAGAAACAAGACAGGCAAGAGTGATGCAGCCCTGAGTCACAGCCCTGTCTACAGCCCAGTAAATCTGAGCTCCTGCCTGTACCACAGCCTGCTGCTGTCCCAGCTCTGCATCCCCAGGGCGACACAGCAGGCAGATATATGGCCTCAGTGTCCTGGGCCAGGTCTCCCTCATATCACTTTGATCCCTGACGCAGAGGAGCTGAGGCATACACAGAACTCTGACACTGTTCATCTTGAAGCACTGTTTATCAGTTGTTTATCTTGGAGTAGGCTACAGGGCCACGAAACTCATCACACATGTGAGCAAACAGGATGATGATTCAGTTCTCCAGCTGGGACCACGCTTCTTCACTCTGCAGTGTGTTTCCAGCCAGCTCCCAAGGCTGTGCTGCCTGGCAGAGCCTTCCTTCCCGAGGACGAACACAGCATCCAGAGCAACTCGAGGACTGATCCAGCAGGAAGAGCATCCCGCCTAGCCTGGGGATCCTTGCCCTGTGCTCCAGAAGCTGGTGCTGCCCCACATCCAACCCCAACACGAGCACTGCTAGAGCAGTCAAGGCAGGAAGTAGCTCCCCAGCCAGAGGGACCTGCAGGTATGTTTGGCACGTTGGGATATGCCAGGGACAGGGAGGTCATCCGTGTGCCCATCCTGCCCTGGCACATCTGCATCCCTTTTACCAGCTGGAGACCCTGCAGTCCTTTGGCTGGCTCTCAGCACCCCAGACTGGACAGGGTCTTGGAGCTGAGGCACGTTCCGCGCACCCGGAGCAGCAGCCGTGGGGATGGGAATGGCACAGGGCAGCAACACTCACCTATCCCGCTGTGAGGCCTCCCTATGTGCTGTAGGTTCAGTCCTTTGTTCATGTCTAAGAGCCCGTTCTTTGGCCAACTCCCCATGGCAAAGCTGTACGCCTGGAAGAGAGAAGCAGAGTGTCAGACAGCACAGCCCGTGTGTAGACGTGATTTGTGTTTGCCCAAGTCTGGCTGCTCCCGGGGATAGTGTGGGTCTGCGTTCAGCATGTTCAGTGCACAGTCCACACACCACCCTCACAGCAGCTCTCCTGGAGTTGCCCACACAAAGCACCCTCACCTGTCCTGTCCCACGTGGTGCTCCTCAGAGGAGAGGGGTCCAGAACCTCTGGTGGTGTCCTGTACAGGTGATAACCCTCACAAGGGAGGGATCTGCATCACTCAAGGCTACTTTTGCTGTGCTGGGGCAAGCCAGGGGCTGTGAGCTCATCACCCACGTCTTGGTTGCTCCGACAACTTCCCTGCCTTACTAAAGGTGGGGTCAGCAGCAGGAGTCAGGGGGATTTGGAAAGGGGTGCCCATGCCCAGGCTGGCCTGGCCAGCAGGCCCCTTCCCTTCTGGAAAGTACAGCCCTCCAGGCTCCCTCTCCTATCCACCCCCAGATCCCAGTTGTTTCAGGGCTCTCCATCACTGGGTGAAATCCCACTGGGAGACAGCACTGCTCACCCCACTGAACAGAGCCTGCAGTCTGGCCAGAGGGAGCCTGCTCCAATCCCCACTGCATCCCCTGGTAGGGTATCCAGCAGGAGCAAGGCAGCTGGGAGCCTGAGCAGCACAAAAACCCACTGGACAATGCAAACATAAAAGCAGCCGGGCCTCTGTGTGACACGCACGGCTGTAATTACAGCCTGACAGCCACATATCTTCTTCATCTTGAGGAATTAAGCTCAGCAACGCATTGTGAGCAGTAAGAAGGGTGCGTGGGCTTAGCGTCGCTCACGCTGGCACTATCTCTGCTGCCGTGAGGGCCATTGTCCCCAGATGAGATCAGGTCAATCCAGCAGCCCCTATCTCCCTCCTGCAGGGGGGATCATCGCTAACTGCAGCCACAGTGTGGCGGGGCATTGCTGACACCCTCCGCAGGCTGCAAGTGCCATGGAGATACTCTCTGCAGCAGGAACGGAGACAAACTGGGCGAGCAGAGCTGAGCGGTGCCCCCCACCAGCCCAACAGCCACCTGCCTGCCACTGGGACCTCCTGCCAGCCCCTCTTCCCTGCTACCTGCTGCTCTGCCCAGCACGGGCAGGTCCAGCCCCTGCTGATGGTAGCCCCCCCGAGAGCCACAGGGCTTGAGGGAGTTAATTTATTAGTGGCCCACGTAACCATTCATGCTGCTTTGTTCCTCCTGCCTTAGCAAAACAGAGGGCTCCACAGATAATTAATAGACAGCATTGCTAATCCTGTTGGGAGATGATTAGCAATTAAAACTCCTAATTAAGTCTATGCATAATTCACTGAAATTACACTTTGTGTACACAACGGGGAGGTTTCTTTTGCCTTCGACAAACACACTCTGGCATGTTCACTGCCATGGTCGGGATGCAGGCTGGCCAGCCACGGTGAGGGGGAGCTGGAGGCTGGGGTGCAGGATGGGACCTGCACCACTGGTGGCCCTGGATGATGGTGGAAGTGGTTCCACATGTGGCTCCCTCTCCTGGGCTCCATCCCGCAGAGCAAACCCAGGCACAGCACAGGAAGGTTCTTGTGCTCAGCACCAGCAGGATGAGAGCAGTGAGGGCCATCCCTGGGGAAGGAATGTCCCCGGATGGGGAAAGACCGGGGATTTCCCTGCACAGGGAGCTACCATATCGCAGGCTGCCTTCCCAGCCCAGACGAATCCCTTGGAGCCTGGCCAGGAGCAACTGAGGGAGCACAGCGGGAGGCTGGCAGGATTTCTGGAAAGCCGTGGGGACAGCTCTGGAAAGCTCCTGGCAGCTGGGTGCTAGTGCCAACCCCGGCCTGCCTCCCCTGGCTCTGCAGCATCAGCAGGGAGCTGGCGGCACGTGCCCCAGCCCCCGGATCAGCACCGGGCCCATCTCTGCACAGCGCTCTGCTTTCCTGATCAAGGTCATTCGGAACAGCCACAATACCTGAGCAAACTCGCTAAGCAGCCAGGGTGGAAGTTGGCCTGACCACTGAAGGTCAAGTGTGCACTTATGCATATTCAAAGCTGCCTGCAGGATCGATCGGGTTTTAATTGTTTTTCCTGGGGTTTTGGAAGGAAGTGCCAGGGGCATTGATCAGTCCCAGACAAGGCTGCTCACACTCTGGGGCTGGCAGAGATTGTCACTATTGCAGGCAGAGGGAAGTGCAGGCAGCGATGATGAAGGGATGAAGGCCAGGCAGGGAAGAGGTCAGCCAGCACCGGCCAGGAGGAGGAGCTATCGCCAGGCTGTGCTGGAAAATAAAGTTTTTAATTAAAAGTGGCAATTCTGAGCCGCCTGCCGGCAGCAGCCACACAATCAAGAGCGAGGAGCTTTGCTGTTTAATATTTAAAGACAACGTTTAATCTTTAAACAGGAAAGTTCTTCTTCTGACTGTTAAAGCGAGGCAGAAAGCGCCGGTGGCTCCCTCACGCCGGGGTCCCCAGCCCACGGAGGTGACCATGGCCACGGGCTCACTGCAGGCACCAGGACACCCCCTACTGCTGGCACTGGCACAGACCCCTGTCCCTTCAGCATTTATCCCTTTGGCAAGCTGTGAAAAAGTCTGAGACACCCTTGGTTCGCTCGCAAAGGATTTAAAAAAATGTCATGAAACCCTCTCTGAGAGGAAACCGCACTATTTTGTCCCTCCCTCCAGTTCAGTCCTGGTGTTGCAGGGACTGAGTTGCTCCCTTTTAGGTCAGATGCTGAAGCAGGACCAGGACCCAGGTGCTTTTTATTTTTATCTACATTTTAACTGATAGAAAACGCAGACATGTTTTAAAAAAGCTATTTTTTAAATGTTTTTGGACAGAATCCCGATTTAGAGAGAAACTCAATGCTTCTGATCTTCCAAAAGCCACACAAACAATGCCGGCAGAATAATTTCCAAGCATCTTGGATACAATTTCTTCATTCATACAAGCTCCTAGAAAGGTTTTCCTTTTTCTCTTGATTTTGTTTGTAATTCTATGAAGGTTACATTTACCTCCCTGCCAATGCTGCTCTGAAGTCAGATGATTATTAATTATATTTATTTACTTATACAATCCCATAGGCATACGCAGCAGTTCACAGACAAATACTGCCCTGGGTCCCTGATGGAGGGATCTCGAATCAAGGGTAAGCAGATCCTCCTGTGATAAATGTGAGCTAACAGCAGCAGGAGATTAGTAACATACTGTGTTTCCATGCACAGAGCCAGCACCACAGATAATCCACACCTTGTTAAAGGTGCTGGTATGGGGAGGTAGGTCCTTAGGTAACCTGTACCTCACATATCCCACAGAAAATCCAAAAACAAGAAGTGAGGATAAAACATGGGGCACAGCAGCCTGGGGCATGAAGATGACATGTGTGCAGAATCAGCACCTGAGGTTGTATTTATAATAGAGCAAGAAGGGTCTGACACCATCCTCTCCCATTGCACCAGGTCACAAACCCTCCTGGTGGCCGTAACGCATCTGCCTCAGTTTGCAAAGGGTCTGAAACAAGAGCTCTGTGGATTATTTCTGGCAGAGCTGGGGTCTCCTCTGTGCTGGGGCAGGCGTGCATGGAGGGCATGCCAGTGGGGTTAGGCAGTCCCACGGAGCACAGGATTCGTGCAGTTTGGCACTGAGTTTGGCCTGCCTGCCCTTGCTGGAGTCCCAGTGCACATCAGCACCCATCCCCAGGAACGCCAGGGCCGGCAAGGCAGCAGCACCAACACGGCTGGGTCCTGATGTTCTGCTCCCTGGAGTTTGTTTGAGCTGCACACCATGGATTATAAGCAGCACAGCGGCAGAGAAGATGTTCCAGGGTGTCAGAAAATTCCAGGAACTGGAACTTGTCAAGCTGATGTATTGATCTAAGTGGACTGAATAATGCTCCATCATTTATTTATGGGGAAGTGCCCGGCACACTTCACAAAAAACTGGTGTTTGGCAGTCACATTAAGGCAAAATTTAACATCCTACAGCATGCAAACAGGTCACCTGTGCAGAGGTCAGGATGCTCACTTACACGGGGAGCCCCACAAATCCTTCTTGCACGCACAGGAGGAGACAGGGCTGGTCCTCACGGAGCTGCTGGAGCTCTGCTAGGGCAATGTGCCGATGCTGACAGAGCCAGCCCTGTCCCTTCTGCACGTGTCGATGCTGTGACCTGCTGGCCAGCCCCTGGCCCCTCTGCCCTCCACTGGAGCTGCAGGCATTGCATCTCCCTGGGTGCTTTAGCTGAAGGGCAGGAGGGAAGTGGGGTTTTGTGCTTTGCAATGGCATGAGCATGTTCACAAACCACGGCAGCAAGAACTGCCAGGATCAGCACAGTCTCTCCTGCTACCCTGACCAGCTGGGCAACTCTGTCATTTTATTTTACAGTTCCTACCAAGAGGTTTTATATGTTTCATCTGCTAATTGTAATTTTAATATTAATACAGACACTTTCAGGCAAGGAGAAAATATTTCCTTTGGAAAAAATTCTCCCAGGAGCGAAGGGGCTCAGCAGTTTGACAAGATGCTAAAGGGTGGGCAGCAAGGAATAAGAGGTGTTTTTTGCTCAAAGTTTCTACTCAGAATTTCAAAAAGACACCTGAGAAAAACATGGGTTTAAACAGGCAGAAAGTGGCTCTGACATCTCCCAGCTGCCCTAGGCCTGGGCAAGCAGCAGGTGCCAGCTGTGCTCCCCCAGTATCAGTCTGGGCACAGCAGCCTGATGATCAAAGCTGAACCCCTGACATTTTCAGAATGGGGAAAAAGTCTTTGGAACAGCAAAAGCATCTTCCTCCTCTTATCATGTCAACTGTGCTCTGTGTCCCCCCAAAATAAGCATTTGCCTTTAACTCTCCTCATCCTACAATGAGGTGTCAAAGTTCTATATTTCCTCATATGGTGGGAAGAAAAAAAGAGGTCATGTCTATGACCAAGTGAACTTTTAAACACAGCTTGAAATGTTTTTAGTGAATTTCACATTTTGGGGCTG